AATAAGCCACTTAAAAGTTTATAATTAGCAGCAGCGCGGCAGCGCAAAAAGTGGAGTAAATTAAAAATTGTAGCGATAAGTAACGAAGCAATCTAAAAATAGCTGAGGCTATTTTTCTGTGCATCAATTTAAAATTCTGCATTCTAAATGCTAAATTCTAAATTCGAATTGCTTAGCAATTAGCCGCTTCCCACTTTAATGGAAATCGTGTACAAAAGTGTGTTGCAAAAGCTTTTAGGGGATACACTTAGCACAAACTCCTGTACCTGGAGAGCAATCTAAGGACAAGCAATTGCCTTTCCCTTATGGCTTCCTTAATAATTATGCGGCTCATCAAAATGCGCTTCATGTAGTCCCGGCTTTTCCTCCGGAATATTATTTTTAATCAATTAAGTTTTGTCAGGCGCACCCAAAACTAAAACATAAATGATGAGCCCGGCACGTGACATGTCTGCTAAATGCTTGGGCTTTTCCCAGTTCCCAGTTCCCTGTTCGCTTTCCCATTTTCCCCGCCCACTTTCCCCCTTCTCCCGCACCAACACCAACCCAGAGGCACCCACACCAGCATAAACACACAATGGCCTCGTTATCTCTGCCCATTTGGTCGCCCCATATTTACTTGCGTCCATGCAGTTAATAATTATGTCAGAGCCTGTAGCTCCGGCTTGTTTGTGTGGACTCACGCCTCCTTGTTATGAAATGCCCCTATTATATGCTCTGCTGCTTCTAGTAATGCGCCCGTTGCTGTCAAGTGCTGGCCCGGCACAAAGGCGGAGCAGCGGGAGTGGGGATGTGCCTGCTCCTTTTCGATCCCTTAAGATGTGCAAACAAAAGCGCAGCGGCATTTAACTTCTGTGTGCCGCCGTGTGTGTGTGACAGCTGTTGTCCTGTTGTCTGGCAAGCGGATGTGCGAGCATTGTGTTGGCACATCCGGTTACATTATGAAACTAACACACACACACGCACGCACACACACGGGAAGGCTCGAGAGGAGCGCACTGGGCACATAAACTTAAATGGTTCGCCTTTTTTGATGCTGCAGCTGCGCCCGATGATGAAACCCGAGCAGAGGCACTAAAAAGGACCTCGTCCTGATACGTGTTTTCAACAGCTGGAACGAGCTGGGCTTTAAGGGAATGCAGCTTGAAATTGTACCTTTTCCAGTTGAGAATGCAGCCTGATTACTATTGTATTAAGCTGTGCGCCCCCAGTTAACCAAACCCATTCTGCGCCAAGTCCCTACTCAACTTAAAGCAACTGCTGCGAAGTGTAACTACGGAGCTCACACACTGCGGCCATATTTCAGGGCTACTACAGGACGTGGCCAACAGGATGCTTTTATCCAATGCCAGTTGAAGACAACCCTCGCTGGATGCTTATATGGCCTGGCAGGGACAACGATGAAGCCTCCTCGCTTCCTAGTTGTCCTCTGGGGTTCCTCGGCGCTGGTCTAAGCAGATAATTACATAAAAATGAATAATAATCCCCAAGGAGGGCAGCAACGTCTCAAGAGCAGGGCTTATTGACTAAATGTGTTAATGATTTTGCAAATTGAATTGGGGCAGGAAGCCGGGATGCCAGGCAGCCAGGAAGCCAGGAAGCCAGGAAGCAGTCACCTGCAACAGGATGTCAATTTAAATAGCCGGAAGCCAGTGCCGGACTCCAAGGGACGTGTGATTTGTGTACGTGGAGCGGAAGTGGCCGCCCGATAAAGTCCAGGAAGTACCCCAAAAGGAGTTGCCCACGCGGCAGAGGGAAGTGGATATCCTTAACTATCCTTGGATATTATTGTCCAATCTTCTCAGGGTATCCATATTATACTCAATTAAAAGGCCTCCGAAGAACTGTTTTTCAAGTGCAGGCTGACCAGACGTCCAGTGCAGCGGAGAAAGAAAAGGAAAAGCCGGAGGAAAAGGGAAATCGCTCGATGGAGAGACAGGGAAAAGTTATTAGTTTGGCGGGACGCTAAGACAAATGGCGCTTATAAATAAGCCAGTGGGAACTGCGGATGAACCTCTGCAGTCGTGGCCCCAAAGCAAATAGAAATTTAATAATGCGATAGGAACAATGGGCGAACTATCAGGCAGATTTTCCTCAGGCCACCGCGCTCCCTCGCCTCGACTTCCACCAATCCATCTCAAATAGCTGAAGCGTGATTATGAGCAGCCTAAGCGCATTAGGGCCGGGTGATTGGACCTTATTTTCTTCTCCAATCTCTCCGAGCGATAAAGCAAATGAAAATAGCGCTTTCCGCTTACTTTCGCAACGGGTGTGGCCAGTACAGCAGTACATACATACCATATGTACGTGATGTATGGCCGGCACATATGGCCAAGTGTCCCGCCTGACAGATGCCGCCATGGATGGAGCACTCTGCCGACAATCTGCAGTCTCAGCACATTTGCGCCACGAATTGAGTTATCGCAACGAGGAGGGGCTCATGATAGCCAGGAATTGTGGAATTTGTTGAATGACGTAACTGGGGAGTTATGGGAAACTCTAGTAATTTATGGCAGATCATTTTGCACACTGGCCCACCTAAATGATACTTTGTAAATATATTCTCTCGACCACGTGGCTGCTGGGTATAATAAGCGTAGTTCCAGAGCATCCGAAATACCTGCTCCTTATCGCCATGTATTCTAACAACCCCAGCCTAATCTAGCAAATTGAAAACTAAGAGTCGGCTGGCGCAACAGATGCGTTCCCCGCATCAAATCCCGCTTAGCTGCAGCTTAGTTGCTGTCATGCCCAGGTAAACACATCCGCAGCCACTGGGCAAGCAACCTGTCCTGCAGCAGGAGTAACATCCCCATGTCCCCAGCCATCCGTATCTCAGCCCTGCGCCCGATTTCCGATTCCCGTTCTTTGCTGTCCGCCGCAGATGCGACTCTCCTTGCGATGCCTTTCCTTGCCTCATTTTCAATTGATGTATCTGCCGACGTTGTATTTTTAATGCGAGGAAATGATGCGGGGCGGAGTGGGAGTGGGAGTGGGTGTGGCAGTGGGAGGGGCCGGGTAACTGGCTCCGTTGGGTCTTTAAGCCATGTGCAATCATCGATGTGTCTGCTGCCTGGATCCTCCCGCTGCCATCGATGCAGCATCTGCCTTCGCCGTGGCAGTTGCCATTGCCTCGCTGCTCCTGGCTGCTCCTCGATCTCCGATGGCAGAATGTGAGCATTTCCGCAAAGTTGGTGAGCTCGGCAAGGACGGGTGAGGAGGAGGATGGGCTGGTAAGGGATATAGCTGTTGCTGCACAGTGGTACAAGCTATTGTTTTAAAGGGGATTTGATTTTATAAATAACCAAGCCGATCGTTAGGGTATTTTCTTGGGAAGCCCAACGAATTTGAGTGCTTCAATCAAGCAAACAAAAAGATACATTTATCTTGTATCTGGCCAGCAGTCTAATGACTGCTATTCTAGCTACTGCAGCGCCCAGATACTTTTGCTGTTTCCCACATATAAATCTAAAACCTCCTAAACAGAAGCACCAGTGTGCGAGGTATTTCCGTGTCTGATGCGGAATCGCGAGTGCAGCAGACGGCGGAGGAGTGCGACGTGGAAGGACTCACACGACTTTGTCATTATAAATTGAAAGACATTTCTAGTCGCGTTCTCCGCGCAAAAGGACCTTCCACAGGACGCCGGGCGGGGCAGGGAGAGGTGGATGCCCCGGGGTTGGTCGCACAGCATAGTAGTAGTCCTGGTGGCCCCGGCCGATGCGTCGCGATGCCTTCACCTAACTGCATCCGGCTGACAGTTCAGCTGGATTCAGCTTCAGGCTCGCTCTCCTCCAGCTTCCACCCAGCTCCCCCAACCGATTCTGGTATCCCTAGTCCTGCTTCCTGTTCCCAACTCGGCAACATGTGTCGCTTGAAGGAAATTGAATTTTTATTAAAGGAAAACATTTTTATTGCAGATTATTTTCGTTTTGTGCGCCAGCTGATTGAAATTTCAACTTCCGGCAGGGACGAGGGACTTCAATTGAATTAGGAAACTTTTGCAGAAGTAATACTAGGTATGCTGGTAATTAAATTTTACAAAATAGCCGTGCAAATAAAAGTGCATCTAGCTTTTGGTGTAGTTTTTTGGGACTACGGTTATTTAGTGTGCAACTTTGCAGCAACTTGCCAACTTGTATTCATAGCAAGATACATATTTACACCAGTTACTCGGAGGGTAAAAGGGTATTCTGCTTAAATATATTCATGTAACTGGTGTTCCTGATCACAATCACTGGAAGAGTCAATCTGGCCAGGATTGTCCGTCAGTAGGAACGTCGCATATAAAAGAGAAAGTGAAAGTAACTTCTACGGCGCCAAGATTCGCTGGCTCCCACATGTTTCAAGATTTCGTAGGATAATTGTAATGGACCTTGGCAAAGTTTTGGATACCATTAAAGGGATATCCGCTGGGTGCGAATTTGTTCAGCCAAGTAGCGGATATCTGGTAGTCGAGACATTGCAAACAGCGTTATCCCTTGCTTGACTTCAGATTGCTGCAGAGAACAGAAAAAGCATGGGAAGACTAGAATTTTTTCGATTTTCCACTTGCTCGATTCGGTTTTTCCTTTTTGCCTCTGCAAACTCAAGCTCGACTTGTGTGCAATTTGGATTCAGAGCCACAAATTCACTTTGGCAGACAGTCTGGGTCCCGTTCCCCGTTCCCTGTTCCCCGCCCTTAACGTTCTATTCTCCGCCAGAAGAACCACAACCCATACCCATACCCATACCCACACCCTTCCCGCTCCTCGGATTTCGTGGCTTTAAAATTATAGTCGGTTAGATGCGCAGGGATGCGCTGAATGGCGATGGCGCATAATATTGCAATGCCATCTTTTCAGTGCCGGCACAAAAGTCTGTAGGTTAAATGTCGTCGTTGTCGTTGTCGTTGTCGTTGTCATCGTCTATTGCCACAATGGAAGTATTGAGTCATAAAATTTATAAAAGCATTTGCAATAAGCAAGCAGCCAAAAGAATTCGGCTGGGCGAGTACTCACCAGTTTATCGATTTTCGGGGCTAGGTTTTGGCCGCTCTCTATCTCTTTCCTCATCAATGCCGTCATCTCTTTCTGATCTGGCCGGCTTAGCTGGGTCTTGGCCTGCAATGATGGAAATTTGGTTCAATTTGGTTGTTTTCAGTTGAGCGTATGTGCTGATATGGCCATTGGGATATTCAATTTGCCCTAAGTTTCGTTAAATTTGATAAGACTTCTATTTTACAAACCAACCCCTGCCTTTGTAACAGTCCTATTAAAAGTGAGCCTGGGAAAGTAATTAATACTCACTCCCATTACTCCTTTAAAATGTCCCTATATAACGAATTATGCTCAAAATTTACTTGTAAGCTTACATTTCTTCCACAAAACTTTACTCCCCAACGCAGGACCGTAATTAAATTGTCCAAAAAATTAGCATATAAGCTGCAACCCATTTATTCAAATTAGACTCATTAGGGCGGCTTAGAGTCATACAAAAAAGGCATATTATAAGTGCGCTTAAGTTGACCAAGAAATTTGCAATTCAAAATTTTTAGGTAGACTAAGGGAGAAAACTATAAAAGGAGCGAGCCCGGGGAAAACTTTGCACTTTTGTTTGCCGTCACGTGCACTCAATAAACTTTGAACAAATTTGCATTTGCAGCGGCAACAACAAGGAGCTGCTCTGGACGGTGACATGCCCACAACCTACGCCCCTAACACCTACACCTCGCGTATCCCGGCATATCCTGGCGTATCCTGGCGTGTCCTGCACTCCACACACGATTTTACAATGCGTTTTTTGCTGGAGATCAACAAAAAGCGTCGCATTGAATTTCAAAAGAAGGAAAGCGGAAACAAACTTGAGCACACAACGTCCATTTCCTGTTTCTGTTTGTCCTTGCTGCCGTGTCCTTGTTGTTGTCCTTGCCCATTCGCACATCGATTCGGCTTGATTCAGCTCGATTTGCACCGGCTTTTGGCACAGATTGTGTTGAGTTTTGTTTGGCCTCGTTGGACTCCTGTTACCACAGGTCCCTGCAACCGAAATGCAACTTTTTTTGCCACCTTTCAGCGTCGAGGGTGATGAGAAACCGTAACAAAAAAACCCTAGGTTCTCGCAACGTACCTCGCATTTTCTTTGCAATTTTTGCAATCAACTCGAACAGGTAATGAAATGCAAATCGATCCATACACGCATTAAGTCGGATGCATTGGCACTTTCCCAAGAAATGAGAGAACAGCAATTCCTGGGGAAAATAGAAACTATTTGCGCTCGGAAATAGCAATTCTACACTGCAGTACCGAACTTATTTTCAGATCGGAAAATACATTTAACAGGTGCCACATTGTAAAGAAGCCTCAAATGGATTAATTTGGGAACGTTATATATATGTTTAAGTAATATCGCTCTAAAGTTATTAGAGACTTGAAGTGTGACTTCAGTTTCTCGCCGTGTACGATCTGTATATATAGTTGAGTGGGAAACAAATTGCCGCCCATCTTATTAACATGAGGGCAACGAAGGGTAAGCAACGAAATGTGCAGGTAACTCAGCCAAGCGAACCACAGAGCTCTGTCCGCTCCCGAAGGCATCAAGGCGGTGGGAGTGGCGGAGGAGCATCATCAACAATGGGCGGATCCGATGGGGGAAATGGGGGCGGCTGTGGTGCACAATTTTGCAGCTGCAAACGAAAGCGGGAAAATTACTTTTCTTCTTTTCAGCAATTTTGTTGCTTCTTGCAATTTATGCAGAAGTCAAATGTTGATTTGTGGCCCAGGACGGGGAGCTGTGGAGCTGAGGAGCCAGGACTCGGAGTCCAGGCTCCGGAACACCTGGACAGGGCAGAGACCACATAATGCAGAGCCACTACCATATTGATTTAGTGAGGTCCACCGCCACATCCCATTTGCTTGCCTCAGTTGAACTTTGCTACCCTCTTGCCTTCTTCCTTCTTCCCTCTGCCTTCTGCCATTTGCTATTTTCCATTTCCATGCTGCCCAAACCCACTGAGTGTGGGTTATTTTAAAAATTTCCTCCCACGGCTGGAGAGCAGAAAAGCACTTGGCTATTTGCATAACAATTGGCTGGCAGCCGGCAAACGAGCAAACAACTTTAGTTTGATTTGCCGAGTGCCATTGATCTGAATCATCATTATTATGCTCATCTCGAGCTCCAAGTGATTCTGGCTTGTCTGCCCGAAGGAGGCGCTCCTCAATTAGTTCGTCTCCGATGTACGGCATGGCAAGTCGATCCCCCTTCCCCCTTATTAAATTGGCGGCCCCTCGCCCTGAGCTCAATAAATTGTCGGTAAGCCGAGTGCCCATTTCCCAGCATTTTCCCAACCTTTTCCGGGCTCTGCGCTCGCCCGTCTCAAGTTGATTGAAAAGTTACATTTGCTACCTTCTGAAGGGTTTACATTTAATGGCCAGCAGCCTTCCACTTTCCATTTGACATTTTTCCTGCAACCAAATGGGTTTTGTGCCGGGTCGGTCTGGAGTCCAATATGTAATGGAATTCTGCGATGCTAACTACAGCATGATGTCGTTTGCATCCCATAAATTATGCAATGTTTTCCTGCACACCGACTTCTTCTACTCGGTTTCGGCTTATTTAGTTTATGACATACCTTAAATGGCCTATAAATTAACTCAATCACATAGTGCTATTTTTATTTACCCGTTGAAACTTGAAGTGCACAACCAAAACAGTTTGGAAAGCTGCTTAAAGTAAAAGCTGCTATATAATGTGGCCGATACCCAAAACAAAGTTCATTACTCGTATGTCAGGCTGTCAATTAAAGGCTTTTGATGAGGGTTGAATAAACGAATTCCTATTTCCGGAATCTGAGAAAGATTTCAACTAATTGAAACAGTTTTGAGCCGCCCCCGGCAGATGTCATTCGAACGAAGATAAAAGCGGCACAGATATACACTCTCGAAAGCAATTGCCAAAAGCGCTTTAAGACCATATTTTCCCAGACGGGAGGAGGCACTTGGGTCGAGAGGCTATCGGATAGCCGGAGTTCAGAGTTTGCTGAGGTCGGCTCCAGCCGAGGGGCCAAAGGAGTGCTCCGTGCTGCCAAAATCTCTGTGTGCATTGGCAATCAGTGTTAAATAAACGAGCAGGCCAAGTGCCACAGACAGGACGCAGGACACAGGACACGGGACACGGGACACAGGACACGGCAGCCAACGGATAGCTGACGACATGCAAAATGCATCGGGACTTCAAGAGTCTGGAAGAGATGATAAAACTTGCAGGAGGCTGCTCCGAGGAGCAGCTGATTGATTCCTGTCCGAATGCTCCCTGAAATAACCAGTTCCTCTAATGCAATTTGGACAGCCTGATTAATATGCACGCATTAATGGGCTTCACTACTCTAATTAGTTTGAATTAGTTTGGCTATACTTCCTGTGTCTTATCACTGCCCACTCTGTTCTGGTCGTTCCTTCGTCAGGAAAGGAAACTCCAGTCCTAAGCCATAAGTCGACACATTCATTATACAATTATGGTAATGTTCCACCGCAATCATTTATCTAAAATTAAATTTACGTAGGCGCTCTCACAAAGCTCCTTTCAGACTCAAAACAAAAGGCGCTACTCAGGTATTTAACTCAACGTAATTCTCATATCTTTTTATTTGAAAAATAGCTTTGAAAAGTAGGAACATATGAAAAAAATATTTCAACTTCCATTTAAGTTTTCTAACTCAACATAATTCTCATATCTTTCTATTTGAAAAATAGCTTTGAAATAAATATTTCAACTTCAAATTAGTTATTCTAACTCAACATAATTCTCATATCTTTTTATTTGAAAAATAGCTTTGAATTAAATATTTAAACTTCAAATTAGTTATTCTAAATCAACGTAATTCTCATATTATTTGATTTGAAAAATAGCTTTGAAAAAGTATGAAATAAATGAAATAAATATTTCAACTTCCAATTTGTTATTCTAACTCAACATAATTCTTCTATCTTTTTATGTGAAAAGTAGCTTTGAAAAGTAGGAACATATGAAACAAATATTTCAACTTCAAACTAGTTATTATAACTCAACGTAATTCTCATATCTTTTTATTTGAAAAATAGCTTTGAAATAAATATTTCAACTTCAAATTAGTTATTCTAACTCAACGTAATTCTCATATCTTTTTATTTGAAAAATAGTTTTGAAAAGTAGGAACATATGAAAAAAATATTTCAACTTCCATTTAAGTTTTCTAACTCAACATAATTCTCATATCTTTTTTATTTGAAAAATAGCTTTGAAATAAATATTTAAAATTCAAATAAGTTATTCTAACAACATAATTCGCATAATATTTTTTTTGAAAAATAGCTTTGAAAAAGTAGGAACATACGAAATAAATATTTCAACTTCAAATTAGTTATTCTAACTTAACACATTTCTCATATCTTTTTATTTGAAAAATAGCTTTGAAATAAATATTTCAACTTCAAATTAGTTATTCTAACTCAACATAATTCTCATATCTTTTTATTTGAAAAATAGCTTTGAATTAAATATTTAAACTTCAAATTAGTTATTCTAACTCAACGTAATTGTCATATCTTTTTATTTGAAAAATAGCTTTGAAAAAGTAGAAACATGAAATAAATTTTTCAACTTCCAATTAGTTATTCTAACTCAACATAATTTTCATATCAAATAGCTTTGAATTAAATATTTAAACTTCAAATTAGTTATTCTAACTTAACAAATTTCTCATATCTTTTTATTTGAAAAGTAGCTTTGAAAAGTAGGAACATATGAAACAAATATTTAAACTTCAAATTACTTATTCTAACTCAACAAATTTCTCATATCTTTTTATTTGAAAAATAGCTTTGGAAATTAGGATATTTATATTAAAATATTATTTATATTTAAACTTCAAATTAGTTCAGTTTACTGAATGGTAATTTCCTGTGTGCATGCCTGGCTCTAAACGACTTTGTTTGGCCAAAAATTTCATGGGATTAAATAAGCGGCATAATTAATGTGGAGTATTGGCTTATAGCCATATGCAAATGTCGAACTAATCAGCTTTTCGGAGAGAGCTCAGCCTGAGCATTTACGTTAAATTAATTGCCTCCCAAAACTTTAGAAAGTT